GGCATCTGCACATAGTGTCCAGCAGCCTCCCTTCAAACAATTATTATTATTACTATTTTAGATTATTAAACAGAAATAAACAAAAATTAATTGCATATTTTATTCATCCTTCCAACTGACATTGTAAATAAGTATTTAAAACTATATGCAGATCGTTTGTTATCTCATTTTAATTATACATGGTTTTTAAAGCAAAATCTTGGGTCTAAAATAAAATCACAACTATTATGGACCACAAAATCTCTATTTTCTACCATTCGAATTCCCCTTATTCAAGAAATTCAAAAGACAAAATATGTTAATGGCCTTACGATTTTACCTCGGTTATGCTACAAATCTCTACAATATCCTACTGTCCATTATCGACTTCTCCGATTCTGACTTAAGTATCAGAGCTTGTGTGGCAAGAGCCTCATCGATCTTTAGTAATATTCTATTTTGCAGGTCTCGTTGATCCATTATAAAATATTGGTGCGAATTTGACGAGATCTCAAGAGACCAAATTTCTGCATCAACAGTAACATTTAAAACTCTAATAACCAAAATAAAATAGACAATAATAGAAAAGAAGGTTTTAAAAAAAAAGGTAGGTTAGTGCAACACAATGTTGAGAGGGATCAATGATATCAAATCAAGAAAAGTGAAGATACCAATGTGGCTTGGTAATGTCAACCATTGATTTGAGAATATTCTCATTAAAAAGAGAAATTTTGGACCATCACACACTTTGTTTTAAATATTTGGTAATTTATGCATGCCATTCTTTTGGCCCAAAAATCTCACCAATGACTTTTTGGGCCCACCACTTTTAATTCAACCTAATTAATATTTGCAGATCTAGGAAATAGGAATTCAACTTTATGACAAAGTAAGTTATTATTTTCTATTCCAGTGTCATTTTTCCAATTCGGACCATTAATCAGTTTTAAATGTTCTTTTGCTTCTCCATCTGATTTATTTTGGTTTTATATTTTTAAATTTCCTATATTTTAACCTATGTTCTTTCATCTCTCAACTTTTAAAACTACAATTTTGTTCCATTAAATTTCAATAATTTAAGCCTGACATTTCAGTTATTAAATTCTTTAAAATGTAGCTATAAATTTTTATCAAAAGATTTTTATTGTATATAAAATTTATGTTAAAATTTATAAATAGGGATAAAAATAGACGTTTGAAAGTACACGAACTAAAAGAACTAAAGTCAAATGTAAATCCATTAAAATAGTATTTAAACTCTTTTTATTTGTTATACTGGAATGAATAATGAATTAAACTAATTAATTCTTTTAATTGATTGAAATAAACTATCAATATGTTTCTTAATTGTTGATTAATTAATTTTGATATTAAATATTAAATCAAAATAATAATAATACTAAATAATTTTGGTGATGAAAAACTTTTTATTTCTATTATAGGAATAAGCATAAAATAATTGAGAAATTAAAAAGAAACTAACAATAAAAAACACGAGAATTTAGGTAGAAAATTCCAAACCAAAGAAAATTACAGCCGCAAAATAAAAATTCACTATATGAAAAATTATTACAATCACACAAAAAAATTTTAAGAAAATTGTAGTGTGTAGCAAAAATCTTTTTATATGTTTCAAAATATGTTACCTGTTTTTTTTTTAATTTTCAAATATAGCACAAAATTTCAAATATAATATATCAGATACTCATATCAGTAGTATATCAGGCACTCATATCAATAGTATATCAAATGTATATTGTATACATATTGCAAAGACACTTATATCAGTAGTATATCGAATATATATCACATATAAATTTCAAGTATATTAGACACTCATATCAATAGTATATCAAATATATATCAGTAATCAGATATATTATAAATATATTATTAGATATATTATAGATGTATATCATTTGGGTAAAGTTGTCATTTAAACTTGGACCTCCATTTTTTTTATAAAAAAAGTGCTATATTTGAAAAAACTAAACGTAGTTGCTATTTTTTTAATTTTACTAAATGTTTTTGTCATATTTGAAATTTCTCCAAAATTTTATATCACTCAAACATCTAGAGTTAGTATATTAGACAAGTATTTCAACTTAGATGATTAAAACCCGAAGTCATGAGTCCGTTTTATAGCACTTTGAGTACACTCCCTCTATATATTTTCCGATGATAATTGCTCTTCTAATTTTTGCTAGAAATACAAGTATTTTTACAAATATATTTATTAGAAATTTTTTGGATTTAAAATATACTTTAATTATTACTATTATTATTATTATTGGATGTAGAAATAAAATTGTAAATTTGATCATTTGGAGCCGTGGGTGAACCATACACTTGTTTATATTCAAGTCAAGTGAAGAATATGGAAGTTTGATTTGGAAGGATCCTATTTGGTAGATGAGAAAATTCACTTTTTCTTTCTTTTTGTTCAAAATTTACTCATAGAAATATTTTTATTCATCCAATATTTTTATTTTTATTTTTA